CCTCTAGGTCAAACAACTTATATAAATCGAAAAGAGACTGTGACCAAACTAAAGGATACAACATCTTGGTCCTTGTATGCACTTCATAAACTGATTGAAATGCCATCCCCAAGTATCTTCAGAAACTTCATTTCTATCTATTTTTGGCATCTATTCCTCTTTCAACTTTCTGTTTTATTATATTACGTCAATGCTGTATGGGGTAACGCCAGTCTTTGATAGACCTAAAAAGTCATAATCACAAAAATCTGCAAAGCTTGATGATATTATAAATACCACTCATCTCGATGAGCATCTATATCTATATGCATTTGTGCCACAGTGGACGAATAATCGTCCGATATAGCAAATTTCGATCACTACACATGTGATTTGAAAGCTAACTTTTGGTTCTATTAAATTTTCTTGGCCTATTTATTTTCGTATGTGAGTAGGGTTTCGAGACATCTCATTAACTATTTTCCTCAAGAGACTTCTAAGATCATCGTCCGCACTCCGCCCTCCTTCATTTAATTCGTGCCCTGGGGAATTTTCTATTTTGAGAATAAGGTTAGACTGGTTTCGCTCTAATTAGAAAGAAGAGGGCTTCGAGACTGTCCTTATTATGGGAAGTAGCAATTTAAATGTGAATTGACATTCCTGTGACCCTGCCCTATTCATGCTGAGCTCTCATCTCTCTCATGCTAAAGGAGCCATTCTTAAATAAAACTTCACATTACTTCCAGTGATGCTTGTTGCATGACCGACGTCATATGATGGTCGCATAAATTCCAGAGGGATGTTGAATAAGACGATCGAAAACATTATGATTCACTCCTACACCCTCAAAATCCCCTCGACATTTTCCTTTCTTCATCTGTTTTAACCAGTCTATTGGCCTATATTATTGTAATCTTCTTAAATGATTAGGGTGATATAACGGGCTAATGGAACGGGTTAAAGATTCCAAACTCAGAGTTTTTCTTCCTTAATAATTTCTTGCTTATCTCCACATTTATAATCTTAAAACAACTCTGGATAGTTCAACCTTCATCTCTTTGCTAAGGCCAGTTCTATAATTGTCGATTAATTTATGGTTCCAACCAAGTTTTACTAAGCCCTTGCTTTCAAAGCCTCCGCTATATTTCTGGTAGAGCCTCTGGAACATGCATGAAGTTGTTTTACTTTAAATTTGCCTATACAACCTCATTCTTACCCGTCCTATATGGATTTGTTTTGGTAGGCACTTCGGCACGACCTGGTTGGCTATGTTCTACTATTGCTGCACACTGGTCTACCGGAAGCTGTAAAAGAGCCCGGACAAACTAAGGCCTATCTGGTGAAAGCCTTAAAGGCGATGCAGCGCAGTCCGCTCTACGGAGAACAGGTGAGCAATAAAGAGGCTGGACATAGGTGGACCGTTGGATTGGTTGGCGGAAAGGCAAACCTATAGGTATCGCGCATATTATGGTATCTTTTGTCATATATATGAGGTCTATTCACCTATTTTGTTTAAGGTGATGAAGGAGTGGTAATTGCATTTTCCCACAATGATATGAGTAGACATAAAGTTTCCATTGAATTTCACATGACCTTGCTTTCAAAAAAAGTATTCTTATCCGGGCTCAATTGGACTGCAATTTCGACCTCGCCTAAGCCTTATCAACAACCCCAGCGGGACTCGAACCATGAAAGTGCAGTGTATAATCTTGACACGTTAACTACTACGCCACTGACACAAATGCCCTTGGGCCACGGTGCAGATATGCATTCCAAAGAAGGCCAGGCAACTTCTCATAGCAAATTCTGTGATGAAATTGTTGATAAAGCAAAGCTTTATTTGCTATAGCAATCGACTACATTATTTATATTTCGTTTCTAAGTTGATTTTCGAGACTACGATTAGATTATATTTATATTTTACAAGATTAATTTTAGTGGGCACTATAGAACCTATATGGTCTTAATTATAATTATATTTCTTTTATATGACAGTTTTTCCATATTTTGTTTCCCTCTCATTTCCATGTTTAGAAATAAGCTGTTTTTGGTTTAATTTATCAACTCGCCTTTGCCTATGCCTTTACGTACATGGACATATTTGTTCCTATCTCATACATACCTTCATTTTACATGTATGCATGCATACATACATACATGCATATATACATACATACATACGTACACACATGCATGCATACATACATATGTATGTGTATATATATATTCATATCTTCTGTTGTCCTCTTGTATTTGGTCACGCAAATTTCACGGTTCAGATTCGTGCTCATCTTGACCGGCATCCTCACTGGGCCGAATACCGAGACCAAAGCCATGCACTCTTCATTTCCAATGCCTCTAGTCACTTGGCTTATCTTACGGCCGGGCCGTCCAGGGGTAGCCTCCATTCAGGCTATCTTACTTCTGGTCCTTCAGTCTCAGTAGCATCAATGCCCAGTGCCGTTGGCGCGACCGGACTTTCTGATAGTGGAAATGATGCTTTTACTTCAGATTCACGCAATCCAGCATTTGTTTCTGATCGGACGTCTTCGTTTGGGGCAGAGACAGCTTCTCATCCTCCTCCCCCGCCGCCGCCACCACCACCCCCACCGCATGAACCCTCGGGACCACTCTGACGTGCTTCCATTATTGATGATAAGGCCTTTGGACTACAATAAAGATGTAGAGTATAGCTCTTCGAAGGCCACCATAAACAATTTTCTAGCCAGCTGGTTTTTATGTAGAGAGAGCCCAAGAATGCCTTTAATATTCACGTCCTATGACATCAGAGGGTTGTTGCTGACTCTTGGATTTGGACGAATAAACACTCACTTAAAGTTACCCATCAGATAATACAGTGTAATTTTATCCGGTCTACTATGGCATTAAATAAGTAAATAGCGACAGCTGCAAACAATTCGTGTTTCTACCATGATATCAATTGAGCTAATGTTTGTCTATATAGTGTATTATCGGTGCACGATTTCAGATGTTAAGGTCTCGAGCATTCTCGCTGCCATATACAAATTTGAAATTATAAATTTCCCACATCTATGAACCCTTGGAGCCGCTAAACATACGTCAATTTTACCACAATCCCTTCTTTGATTGTACTGGTTGCCATGTCTAAGTCACCAATTATCAGTAAGACCCCTCGGAACGATTCGCCTCGCACGTCCTATTAAGGGTCCATTCATCCTTCACGTAAACTTGATGTAGACGGTTCAAATCCAGTCTTGTATTTTAATAAAGTTCTTCTTTCCTATCTAGTCCACTCAATTCTTCCCTGGTTGATCATACGTAACCCGAATTTCCCCGACCATCAACTATGTGTGGAGGAGAGGCTTTTTTTGCAGATCGTGTGAAGCAAATTGATTCGAAGAAATATTAATTTTTATCGATGAGGTCCAAATAACGCTTCCATAGCAGACAGAATCCCTGAAAGGGCTCATGAATGTTACAAGCTTTAAGCTTGTCACATTCGAAGTGCTCAATAACTTTCAGCCCATATCTTTATCTTGCATGTTTTTGTGACAAATTTGTCTAATTTTTTGCTTTAACCTTTTGCTACTTCACCATTACCTAACTTTGCGCCAGCTTTCGTACATACTGCCAAATATGTGTTAATCCCTCGGCCTGGCAGCGGGCAATATTCTTCCGCTGATTCAAGAGAACATGAATGTTACAAATAGCCTTCGGCTTTGTCTGCAAAAACCAGTGGCTTTCAGAATAAAGTTTTGCATTAGCTCCACAATATCTACTATATCTCTGGTATCTATGGGAAGCCTTGTTTACCACGATAATTTTTACAAAATGAAATATAACGGCTCTATTTTATTATAAATCGTTTATACCTCTCAGGCATTTTTTTAATTTTAACTTTCGCTTATCAGTTACATGATTAATTTTATTATTATTTACGGAATCTCTGCGCTTTCATACCGTCTTCTAATGTGCTTACTTAATTTGTAATGCAATATTTATGTTCATTACTTATCCAGCCAATGAACAATTTTATCGTAGATATGAAAAAGACCAAGGTGTGGCCTTTTTTGGTCGCAGTTTCCTTTAGATTTATAATGCTGGTTCGACCTTGTTTTCGCAACTTGGTCGGAGCGTTAGAGAAATCTTGTGGAACATACCTAGTTCCCTGTCCTCTGCCTTAGTATTTGTGAGTTTCAGCATTGGGCCATTGGCTGGGTACATTCCTAAAAGTTTCGCCGGCATCGTCAGTGAGAGGCGCCATCGTAAGCACAGAGTAACAACGTGTCAGGGATAAGACAAGGCAATCCCCTTAATCAATTTTCTGCTCAGCCGCTGTTCCATCACTCCTCGTCCCTTTCTTTATTCTATCTTCTAGTACTACATCTCTTTATTTCAGTGCCCATCCACTTATTCACACAATCCTGTGCTCTCTTTTCCTTCATTGTCGCCTAAGAGTGTGTCGCTATAAGATAGTTTATGGAAGCGTAATCATCTCCACCATCGGTACCAGATGCAGTTTGCAGGACGCCAGAAATACATGCTGCCTCCCTTTTTGTTCTACCGGCTTAAGTAATAACCGATGGTGTAAGAATGCACCACTTGCCTATTTTTCCCTTTGAATCGCGAAAAGTGCACCTCGTGTTTCTAGTTGACATTCCCATCTTATCCTATTGTACTGGGATGATATTCATGAGTGTGTGTTTTGGCTGGTATACCTCTGTTGTCAAGCTTGTCACCAGTCACTTCCTTTTCAGACACAGGTAAGAAAAATACACATAACATCTAGATACACACATTGGTGAGCTATATCTGGCCCACCTATCCTACATCTCACAGGTAAATTTTTTTAACCAATTTTACGTCTGGCTCCTCTCACTATAGTCGTCTTTTCTTGACTTTCGTTTGTTCCTCATGAGTCGATCCTTAATAATGTCTCTTCTTGTTATTAAACAGTTGTCCTGGATCCAAGCTTCTTCTTTTTGATGTCTTCACTGATTCTGCAATAGGTCGTCCTTATTCTTAGGTTTATTACTCGGGTTAGGAACTCTACTCATTCGTTCTGTCCCTAGGATGTCCTTTTTTTTTTCAAGATCTCCACTAGTGCGGTGAGTGCTTTTTCTCCTATGATGTTAGTGTACATCAAGGCTCACTAAAAGTTAGTTTCCTTCCAAACTGCTGCCTTTGATTCTTTGGAAAAATTCGCATGAGCTCTTCACCGTATTCGATAATCTGTCATTTTCTTTAATTTAAGTCAGATAAATTTCACCAATTTATGTTTCGGTCAATGCTTGTTGTTGATAGTCAGTCTCAATGGTTCTCCTTCTTTGAGTACCTTCGGCAAGCCGTATGCTACTGAGGCCCTTGCATCCCCTCGCATGAGTGAGTTCATTTTCCATTTGTCGATTTCCCTGTTTCTATTCAATTCTTTCAGCATTTCTTGCAGTTCCCCTCTGATTTTAACTGTTGGGTCTTTTGTTAGTAGTCGATACGTTGTAGTGTCCCCGAGAATATTTTTAATTTTCTTGGTATATTCCTTCCTGTCCATCACCAGTGTCACCTTTGTCTGCTTGTAGGACTATTTGACAGTTTCCTGTCAATCTTCTATATATATCTTGGTTATATTGTCCATATGTGTGGTGTTTTGATGCACCAAGATTGTTCAGATGATAACCATTCGACAGATTTTTTGATTTTTCATGTAGCTTCTTAGATGTATTTATTACCTCCACTAAAATGTCCTAGATTGCCTTCGTTTCATCCCGAAGTGCAAAATATATTCCCTTCTGGAGGATCTCTGTGGTTTCCAGGTCAAGATGGACGGAAGACAAATTTACTACTTTATCCGCGTTTCTTTTCTGAACCTTGAGACCTGTCAGCCTACAGGCATCTTCATTTTTTTCCGATGGTTAGATTTTGGGCTTTTTATATATTCCAAATTTATTCAGCTTTTTCTGGTGCCTTTTTTTGATTAGGTCCGATATCCTTTGTGCTATTTTGTCTGTCATCTGTAGTTTTAGGAAATGCTACGATGTGAGAATCTGACTCAGATCATGCCTGAGTCTAGATTTAATATCTAAAATCTTAAATAATCTTCCCCTCTCTCTAGAATATGTCTACTCTCATTTTTGCATGAAACTTGATATAATATAACATTGCCTTTATCGGAATTATATTTTTTCGTCAAATCGCAAAAACTAGGAAGGATGCAATAACGTTATCGACAGTTAAGAAAGGTCAAATGACAAGATTGACTTGAGATTGTTTTATTCGATCTGCTGTAATCAGTGCATTGACTGGGAATCTTACCACCGTAATTAGATCGTAGCTATTAAGACCAAGATGGTGTAGTATCGTGTTTTTATGTTGGTTCGACCTTGTTTTCGCAACTTGCTCAAAGCGTCATGGAGACCTCGTGGAACGTACCTAGTCCAATATCCTCTGCCATATTATTCATCATTTCCAGCATTGGGTCATTGGCTGGGTACATTCCTAGACGT